TTGGGCAGAAAATAAAATTAATGTATAAAACTCATAAATTAACTTGAAATCTATATAACTGCTCTTCAAAATTAAATTCTCCTGTTGGTTCGAATTTAATTGGAAGATAATTTACATCATTGCAGCGGAAACTTGATGATAAAATACATTCTTTTAGTTCAGGAGCATTTCTTTGTCCTTATCTACTCTCTGAAAAATTGACCACGTTGGTGTAAAATTTATCAGAGATTTAAACTTCAAACTTAAATTCATTATAATATTGTTATCATCAACGTTGGTCAGAAGATAACAATACCATAATTTAACATAAACAAATCGGACTGCTCCTATGATTTAAAATTTTCCATTGGTTCCAATTTAATTAGAGGATTAATATAATCATAATTTACTAAATATAACTGCTCTTCAAATTAAATTCTCCCATTGGTACGAATTTAATTAGAAGATATAATCAACATTAAACTTTGCAGCAGAAACTCGATAATTGATGAATTTTACCCACAGGGAAATTCTCTTTACTAATTTTTCTTTGAGCCATTAATCATTTTCCAGGAAATAAAGATTTACTAGAAAAAGAAAAGGAAAAATGGACTCAAATCAATACTGTTTTTCAGCCCAACCGGCAAAACGGCCTGGCCCAACTACCTCCGCGCGCGCCCGCGGCGCCTCCCAGGCCGCAACCTGGGCCTGGGCCGGCAAAGTCGCCCGCTGCGCACTCCCACCTGGGCTCAATCTAGCTCGGTTGATCTGCGTCGTCCATCTGAGATCGACGGCCACGCGCTGATCTCGGGCGAACAAAACCGACGCTCGGTCGCCTCTCCCAGAACCCTAGGTTCATTTCTCCCCTCCCCTTTCTCTCTCTCAGCTCCGCGAGCGATAGAGCACAACCGAGCTCAAGGCGGACGCGACGCAGGGGATGGCGGCTCCGCCGTGGCACCCCTCGCCAGCGCACGCGTGCGGCCGGAGCCGCGCGCGGCACCGTCGAGCGGCACCACGGTGGTGCCCTTTGGCCCCAAGCCCGAGATGGAGACCGTGCGGCGGCGCTTCCCTCGCCCCGGCGGCTGGGATTGACTACCCGCGCAGCGTCCATGCGACGGCCGGCGGTGGAGACAGAGCGGGTGGACCCTAGGTAGGAGCTCCTTCCCCTTGTCCATTCACTCTCTTCCCCTTCCTCGTTGCTGGTTAGGGTTAGGATTAATCCGATTCGGTTTTTGGTTTTGATTCGAGATTGTAATCCCTTCTTTCTAATTGCCAAAAACTGAGACTACCCCGAGCTCACTAGCGTGGAGTCTATCCCGGAGTGCTCCGGTGAGTGGAGGTCCGGCGAGGTAAGCCGCCTTCCTAGATCTTTCCCTTTCCCCTTTTTCTTCTCTTTTGGGTCTTCTTCTATTCTTCTCGGATCTTGTCCGATTTGGGGTTAGGGTTAGGGTCCTTATTCGAAACCGAGACCCCCCTTCTTACTCCTTTTCTTCACTCGATTAGGGTTTAGGGTTCGATGAACCCTCTACTTCCCTCTTTTTCGATCCGAACCGGATCTATCTCATCTACTTCTACACTGCTACCCCTGACACTATCTACACAATAGATCGACGGCTTTGATACCATTGTTATAAGCTTAGGATCATCTAGGTGTAGATTAGAGGGTGAAACTGTTACTATTTGATTCACATTCGACCTATAACATGATACAGAGAGGGAGACAGTGAGAGAGGGAGACGTAGGAGTGGCTGACCGTCGGCTTTGGAGGAGGATGAGCCGTCCATGTCGAGGTCCAGTCGGTGGCGTCGTCCGGCGACGGTGGATCCGGTGGCGACGGCGGTGGGGTAGAAGACGCAGTGGAGTTTGGCGTGGTGGCACTTCTCGCCGCTTCAGCACTCCCTTGATCGGTAGGGTTAGAGCAGTAAGTGGGGATCATGGCGGCTGTCATGAACCTCGTGTCTTCGCCCTGGCCCCCACCTCCCTCTATATTGTGTTGCGCGACGGGGCCCACCAACCTTTGTTTAGTTGCATGCCCCCGATCAGGGCACTGGATCAAGGCCCGACTCGACTGTTGGGTCGAGTCGGATGAGATCAACACTAACACGGTCCACCCGTCTTCCACGTGTCGCTGTTGAAGCCGGCGCCTTCCTCCAAGTACAAGATTGCAAGCTCCCTGCCTGATGCTGCTGAAGGACTGCAGGTGCCTGAAGCTATTCTCCAGCACCGTCTCCATCAGCGCCGCGACGGCGCCATTGCTCAAGTACTCGTCAAGTGGACTGGCATGGATGAAGACCTGGCTACCTGGGAGGACATGGAAGCTCTGCGGCAACAGTTTCCATTTGCTCCGGCCTGGGGTCATGCCGGTGCCCAAGGAGAGGGGGGTGTCACGGTCCCTCACCCGGCATCCCTTCCAGAGAAAGATGCTCATCAGCCCAGAAGGGGAAAGAGGGCCCGTACCAGGATCATCAAGGTGACTGGGCCACAATGGGCCTGTAACGCATGCGTAGCCGAGCCCAGCAAGGAGTGAGAGACAGAGAGGAGAGCGCTCCGAAGAGGGCAAGCAAGAATTGAACTCCTGTATCTGAACACTTTACTTTTCCGTCAAGAAGAACTCGTCGTCCGTACGCCTCTGTTCTTCGTTGGGTTTGCTGTTGATCCGGCGTCCAGAGAAGGTCGCTGACACATCGTCCAGCCCTGCTCTGCTGCGTTACTGTGAGTTCAGGTGTGGATGGACCACGACCACCTGGCCAATCATCGACGCACATGCATATGATCAACGCGTGATAGAGCTTGTGAACTCCTAGCTCCTGCAGGGTCGCTCTACGTGCTGCAGTTTGCCGCTGGCTGCTGCCGCCCCCAAGATTCCTTCTCCTTCTCTACGGATCGCATGTTGTTTTACCGGATCAATCATTGGCTCATTGCTAGCGTAACTCGGGTCTGTGGTGGTCTCCCTCTCCTCATCGCAAGGACGCCACGGTTGGCGGCGTCGCGGGTGCAGCGCCGTGTGCCCTGGACCTGTTCGGCAGATTCCCCCCACCGCGCGCGGTCCCTCGCGCCGTGCATGCTAAGCGAGATGATGGGGCAGGGCAGGGCAGGCTGCCGTGAGCGACGGACCGTACATACATACGGAAGAGATGACACCCTGCGGAACAGATTGATGCACCGCCAATGGCTGGCACAGCTAGCTTGAATCGACGCTCGCATGGCACGCTGCAACTCTGTAACTGTGGAAATGGAAGTGGTGTCGTTATCTATGGACGCCGATGATTGATGGTTGGATGGCTGAACAGTGGGCGGGGGCAGGAGGACAATGCCACTCTGTTGAACTAGGCCTAGGCTTGAGTGGTACTAGCTGGCAAGCTTTGCCTGTGCAATGGTTTGGATGAGCAGGAATGGGCGGATGCACATGCACTGGTAAACTAAATGTGTGTGCTCAGTGTCTAGGTGCATTAGCATTGTGCTTACTGTTCGTATGTTCATGGAGTAATTCCTTGGTGCTTTGATGACCTGCGCTTCTGGGTTCTATTCGCTACAAGGAGGAACCATTGTGTAGACTGAATAGTAATCGGAGTGGAAGGTGTGAACCCCAGATCAGCAAGTATTACAGGAAAATGTAACAGATAATGTCATATTGGAAGAAGCTCTGTTTCGAGTTTGCATTTGGTTGAGGTAATCGACTTGCACAATTCCTTTTCCATTGATCAGTCCTTAATTAGAGTTGATGTTTAAAATTTCGTGCTAACTTTGAGAAGTTCATTTGAAAATTCATACTTCTGTAAAGAAAAGAGAAAATCCTGTTCAGATTGTTCAAGTACTATAGAATTAGTAAGGAATATGCATGGGGCAGCACAACAGAGGATCTCCATCATTATATGCCATTTGCATAATCAAGTTGTTACTATTTGTGCCCTCAACTTTCACTTGCTATTAATATTTTCATCAGTTAGTATTGTTACTGTTAGGTACGATAAAATCAATATTTTTTCCTTTTGCCATTTCTCTAATGAAGTTATTGAATGCCAATAACATAACTGGTTTATTGTGTTGAATCTAATGGGGATTTTAAATGAAGAGTATGCTTCCTGCTTTTATGGTGGAAAAGATTTTCCAAGACTAAATCCATATTTTTTTTAAGATAAATTATTATGTACAGTTCCACATATTCAAGTTCACACATCTATAGTTCCCTTTGTCAATCCCCATCATTATAGTTACCAGTGAGATATCAAAAAAAATGTTCTTATGATGAACTTTTCTGGATTATTGGAGTTAAATGTTTAAAGTCCATGTTTGCTTCATATGGTAAACTTGTGCTGATTGTTAGAAAGACATATTCTCGATGATCTGCACAATTTGCGGACATGCTTTATGTAATATAAACCTTAGAGACGAGTGGCCTATGATTAGCTTTGGTTTACCTCTAGGAGGATGTAGTTTGTAACTTGCTTCTTCCTCTTAATGAGTGAAAAAAATGATTTGCAGTCCTTTGAAGATTGGAAAATTTCCATTTCTCAGGAAAATGAGGTAAATCCTTTTCCTACTCTTATCTTTTATTACATGATTTTAAGTCTGGGTTCTTCTCCTTCCAATAATATGTTACGATCACTGCGCTGCCTTATTACATAACAAGATATGATCTTCAAGTGCCTTATGTTCCTCTTCAATAATTTTTTATGTGCCGCTTTACATGATAAGATATGTATGTGCAGTGTGCTTTACCGGCTCACCGCTAGCTGCTAGAGTTTGTGTTATGTGGTTGTTAGGACTGAGAGGGAGAGAGCTGAGGGAGAGGCTACAGTAGTCGTTGAGCTACAGTACGCAGGTACTGTTTGTGCGAGGGAGAGAGGGTAGGAACGGCCTATGGGAAGCCAGCAACTTAATTGTTGCTTCTTGCTTGACTATAACTGATACAGGATTCTATTTTTATAGAGATAACTGACTTGACCCTAAGGAAATATCCTAACCGAATTAATCTAACGTATCTCTTTCCTAACAAACCAAACCAATCTAATCTTCACGCGCTACAGTGCCGCGTGGCCCTGGGCCGGCTCCGCTTGCCATAACATGGGCCTACGCCTTGTATAAACTTCATGAGCCTGCATTGTCCTAGCCGTGATGTTCTGCACACCAACAGGCACTCCTACTGTTATGACAGACACCCATTATACAAGGCGTAGGCCCATGTTATGGCAAGTGGAACCGGGCCACGTGGTACTGTAGCATGTGAAGATTAGATTTGTTTGATTTGTTAGGAAAGAGATATGTTAGATTGATTCGGTTAGGATATTTTCTTAGGGGTCAAATCAGTCATCACTATAAAAAGAGAACCATGTATCAGTTATAGTCAAGCAGGAACAGAGTTGTTTTCGGCTTCCGAGCCGGGATTTCCTAACCCTAGCCGCCTCCCGCTGTTCTCGCGTGTGAACAGTACCGCCGCTACTGTAGCACCGAGAGGGTTCTAGGGCGGCAGCCGCAGCCGCAGCCGCCGCACTCTCGCCGCCACGGCTCCTCGCCGACGTCGAGAGTACAGACCACGTCCTCCTCTCTTCCACCCCTATAACCTACGCAGCCACGCCGGTAGGGCATCAAGCCCTATCAACTTGTTATGTGGCTGCTAGGATTGAGAGAGAGAGCCGAGGGAGAGGCGGCGGCGGGCGTGCTACAGTACCAGTGCGCTACAGTACCACGGGTACTGTTCACGTCTAGGTCTGCGAGGCCGAGGCTGGAGGCCGGCCGGGGGCCTTGCCCACGGCCGAGCAAGAGGGAAGGAATTTCCTTCTTAATTCTTGTTTGATTAGATCGATATATCTTCTCTCCTTATATAGAGAAGTTTACTTGATTCCCAAGCAAGGCTTACTTGACCCTTAAGTAAGTGACCCTTATCTCTAATTAACCCTAACACTAATGGGCTATACAGCCAACCCAGGCCCAATAGGCCTCTGACGTACTCTAACACCTACTTTCAGAATATCTACTATCAGCTTCTCATTCAAGAATTGCTCTGCACAATGTGGCCATGTAATCATGGGCATCCCACATGAAATTCCTTCTATAGTTGAGTTCCACCCGCAGTGTGTCATGAAACCCCCCAAAGATGGATGCGAGAGGATCATAGCCTGTGGTGCCCAACCTCGTATTATGAGACCTCTGTCTCTTATTCTCTCTTCAAACTCCTCGTCCAGTAATTTGTCAACACGTGAAGCTTTATTATCAGATTTTATCACCCAAAGAAATGGCCTCATTGAAGCCTCTAAGCCCAATGCGATATCTTCAATCTGTGAAAACACAGTACGAGCCATGCTTCCAAAACTGACATAAAGAACCGACCCTGGTTTCATGGAGTCAAGCCATTGCAAGCAATGCTTCCCATCGACTGATGTCTTATAACCCCTGGATTCCATTGCATCCATGTCAGTATTGCAGAGGAACATCGGCCCAAGGGACCAAATTTTCTTGCCTATTTTCATCTGGTAGGCCTCATGGTACAATGGTTCAAGCTCATCGAAGCTATTTGTGACCACACCGTCAGCTCTCCGTTCCTCCTCTAGGATTTTCTCACGGAATTGCTCAAACCCTGGTGAGTTAAAGTTCCCAGGAGATCTTGCCTTTGATACCTCAAGGCAATGAGGAAACCCAGGGAGCACAATTAGCCTATTGTCATCAGATATATTCTCAAAAATCTTCTCCTGATGGATGATGTACCTAAAACATTACCACATTTGTATATGTGAAGGAAAGCAAGAAGAGAAATGATTAACTAGTGGATAAGTAGTAGTTAATACCTGCAAAGGGAGGAGAAGGCACAGAAGCCATTAAACATCAACCTGGGGATGCCAAGCTCCCTTGCAACATCCCGTGTCCATGGCTGGCACAGGTCTGATATTATGCAGGAAGGAGGGTTGCTCTGGGCATGGAGATATGACACGAGGGGCTTGTGTAACATGCTGTAGGCGTCTGTAAGCATCTTGACCTGCTCTTTCCCTAGGACTTTGTCAACATTCTCGCAGCCTTCGGGTAGTCCTACCTCAGCACAGCGGAGCTTGAGGGCTACAAAGTGGATTGGAAGGTTCAGCTCTCTTGCCCTGTCAATGGTGGATTCTATCCGAGAGGCATTGGCAGGGGTGGTGATGAAGCTGACCATGGCACCATGTTTTGCAAGGAGATGAGCCATGTCAATCATGGGAATTGTGTGGCCTTGCGCCATGAACGGAACCAAGACGAAATGTGGCTTTGGAGTATCATCTCGGACATTCATGGCTACCTGTTTGGTCTTGACTCAAACACAGCTATGGAGAAGAAACTGGTGCCTGTTAATAAATACATGAACTGTTTCAGTAGATAGAGGGAATGCAACTTTCTCATCAAATTATCTTGAAAACATTGACCCATTGACTCCAATTCAATAAGACAATACATAGCTGGTATCCAAAGTAAGATATTCAAAGTGCTGCTTGTTTTTCCAGGCACCTGCTTTGTCTTTCATTCTTTCATTTTCACCGGTGGGACCCATTGAGGAAACTTAGGTCTGAATCTGTAGTCTTGGTCAAAAAGTGTTATTGGTGGAAAATTGTTCTGCAGTTCGCTCTTGTTATATTGGTGGAAAGATTATTTAAGTGAAGAACTCAAGATTACTTAATCCGGCTGCAGTTGAATTAGCAAAGGGTAGTTGGAAGTATCTGACAGAAATGCATAACAGGAGAATATGTTGGCCAACTGAGTTATGTTGAGAAGTACTGAGACATTTACTAAATGGTAATTACAATGAAAGAAATATATATTTACTAACAGGAGAATATGTTGGTCAACTGTGAACTGAACTTTTCAGCTCAGTCATCAAACAGGGTTCGCATTAACTGATTGGTTATATAAAGTTTGATGTGAGCCATCAAGAGAAACTTCGATAAGGATAGAAACATGAGGTGTGATAGGTTTTCCGTTTACTACTTCAATTGTCATCTGCAGTCAGTCCCAACTTGATGTCATTTTAAAAGTTCCATCTGGAAGGCATGCGGAAGACTACAAGTCACATTTTCTTTTTCAGGGCAGAGATATGATCATTGACAGTAGGGGTTTCTAGACCATGAATGAGTCATACAAAGAGATCCATCGAGTGTTATTGTCTGCTACCAACAGGAGATAAAAAGGTTCATATAAAACATTGAATCTCTTTTATAACAACAGAAAAACAGTTTGTGTCTCTGCACGGTATGATGCTTCCTCTTCCGTACTGTATGGTATGAGAATCTCAAGTAAATTAGAAAACAGATGTTTCTGCAATCAATGAAACTCCTCTGGACCTATGAAGTGATAAAAAGGACTTCTGCCAAAGAAAAACTTCATAAATGTCTATGTGAATCAAACCACCTATGATCCTTTAGTCAGCAATTCAGTAAACCTGTATTTACAATATGCACATACAATAATTTTCGAAAATTTTATTTCCTGAAGAATATTATATTTGAATTTTTCTGGAATATGTAATTATCATCTGAATCCATACCTCTCGGTTCCAAACACCACAATTTTGCAATTTCCACAGTTCATTAAAACTTATGCCTAGAAGCATTCAAAAATCTTGATATTTCGCACAGTTCTAGGTTGAGTTAGATTATACTCCCTACATCTTTAAAAGAGTTCAATTCTCGCTTTTCGAGGAGTCAAACAATTTTTAGTTTGACTACATCTATAAAAACTACTATGGTACTGAATAATCATTAGATTAATCATAGAAAATATATTTTTATAGTAACATATTTAGAGACATAAATATCATACTATTTTCTATAAATGACTTGGTTTAAATCTAAATACTCTGTTTTGGATGGAGGGAGTACATCCATATAAAATTTCTCAAAATTTCAGGTACAAACCCAATCATGTTTATATGTGATTAAAAAGGCAAATTTTGGCTGAAATCAATGTGAGCATGTTCGTTCCTTCCGTGCAATGCATTCATTTGCATCTGAAATTCCACATGGATGGTCGCGAAAATTTTGAAATCATGTATTATGATCTGTAGCGGATTTGCACTATCGTTGAGGCAATCTTCCCTTTTCAGAAAGTACCTATTTGCACTGAGAATCTGATGCACCAGGAGGCAACGGACGATGAACATCACCTTCGGCCCGTCGCCGTTGGCTTGCAGCCATTGGACGGCCGGCCGACGGCCTCGGCCTGCCGCTACTGCCGTGCCGTGCCCGTGCGGCCTGCCACTACAGTCGCCAATGATGCGGCACGTCACCGACTCACCGTCGCCGTTGATTTTTTTTATGCGGATGTTGGCTAGATGCTTTTGGCTAGCAATTACTTTTTTTCCCCCTCAAATGTGGCTAAGAATCACTTTGCTGGAACACTTTTTTTGTGGCAAAAGTGCATGGATGATGGATGGCTAGATGCTTCTTGTGTTCGTGGCCGTTGATTTTTGCACACGCCGTTACCCTAGTGTGCCTTTTTTCTTTCCTTTCTTGCGCTTGAACTTTACTTTGCTCATGATTAATTGCCGGGTAATCTCGGATCAAGAAATATAGGTGTGGTTAGCCACGAGCTCAATTTAATTTGCTCTTTTTTTTAAGAAAATGGAGGAGTGCTATCTGGCTTATGTTGTCTATGGAACAATAAAATGCAATAATACATTGCCATGTCGAGCTGTTTGGCTGATGGTTTCTCAATAATAAGCCAATTGGCTGATTTGTTGTCGAGAGAAAATCTTATATCATGGCTAATAAGCCAGGGTGATAAGTTCAAGTGTGTTCTTGATGCTCCAAAACATCACATGGCTAAAAAGTCAGGACCTTTTGAAACTAGAAATAAAACATTGGCGTGTTACGTAGACACTCCCTTTTGAATTAATGGCTAAAGTTAGACATGTTTGACTACATGTAGTATTATTTACAAACAAATATAAAGTAATTTACTTAACTGTCCGGTTCAAACTATAGTTCATTCTAACTTTTTGTTAAGTTAAACTTCGCTAATTTTGACAATTCTATAGAGAAGTGCATAGAGTCTACTGCATGAAATTAATTTCTTAAATTCTTGCAAAACATGTCTTGCTGTTGCATATTTGAAATTGTAGATATTTGTCGGATATTGATATTAGGGATACCCAAAGCAAGGAAGTTAGGCGTCCATGACTTTGCCGGATGGCTCGTGATGTATTAAAAGGTCTTGCCCGACCCCAAGGTCGCGGGCTCCATCTCGCCCGACCTCGAGGCCACGGGCTCTGTCTCGCCTGACCCCTTGGGTGCGGGCTCCATCTCGCTCGACCCCAAGGACGCGGGTTCCGTCTCGCCTAAGGTCGCTGGCTCCGTCTCGCCCGACCCCAAGGACGCGGGTTTCGTCTCGTCCGACGGGGACCCATACCGTCGCCAACCACTACAGGTCCAAGCGTATGGGCACAGGTCAAAACTCGATGCTGGGAAGAGGTCATGCGCCTCGATGTAACCCGTGGCCATGATGGGCCATACCTAGGGATTCACATCAAGAACAGTGTCGGGCGTGTCGGTGCTGTTCTGCCTAATCCTCGTACGGATGCTGACAGGCGCGTCGGTTCACCACGACGTCCGTCGGGACGGAGTGGAACGCCATGACCAGCAGATGACGCATGCGCATGGCACCAGTGACGAACAGGGCCACGACATGGAGCCATCCCTATTAACATCTACAGGATCAGTGGGACCTGCATGAAGGAGAAGAAGGACCCGGCAACCTGAAGCCTTCTCTCTCGTTCTTCTCCTTTTCCTCCTCTGTAACCCGCGTTTTCCTTCATCTATAAAAGGGAAGCGGGCGCCCCATGAAAGGGGATCTTGACACAAGAGCACGAATTTGAGCACATGGGTGGCGGCAAGCTAGCTCTCAAGACCGTTCACTCACCTTCCACCGAGACTTGGGATCCTCTTACTCTCTCATCGTTTGTAACCCCTACTACAAACCAAGTGTCAGAACTAGAGCAAATGGCCGAATCGGCCCGGGCGTAAAGGCGTTCATTGAAACCAAAGATAAACCCTTGTGTCCTCCGAGCACACCATCCGAGCCAGACATGCAAATACAAATTTACTCGTTGGTGGTCCGAAAACACCAACAGCTGGCGCGCCACGTAGGGGCTTTTTACGCGGCGTTTGGCGTCCACAACAGAGCCTCGGATGGCTAGTCACGGCGTCACTTTGGGTCCCGGCCAAGCCGCGGCGCTGAACCTGGACTTCATCGTTCATGACAGGGAGAGTTGGCGCGAGTTCCCGCCACCGTCCCACCTCTCCACTCACCCGGCCTTGACGCCGCGATTGCCGAGACGCTTGAGGAGCTGCAATGCACGCACGGAGGCCCACACCCCCTGGAGCGACTAGCTCCTCGCTTCGATTATAGGAGGATAGGCGCTAGGTCGGCGCCTTCCTAGGACCACGACCATTCCGGGAGGACTGTGTCGCCTCACCTTCTCGCTTCACAATGTCATGATGTGACTTCGAGGAGAGCCACTCTCCCGGAATACCTCATCTGAGCGCCTAACAATGCTCTTGTTACGATCTGCATAACGCCATGCAGAGACCATTAACCACCTTGTGTGGCGCGGCGCCGCCCCATCTCCTACTTAACGACTAGTTCGTGGGGATGACCGAATACATCATGGAATCGTTCCATGACCTTCTCATAGGAGAATCGAGTCCCCCAGACTCGACTCTAGCAGGAGGAGCCATCACCCCTCACGAGAATGTTTCATGGCAGGTACCCCCGAGGGATACATCGAAAGCATCCATGAGGGAGGGGCTACCCCAATAGATGACCTCGATGATGACGTCGAGGGGGATGTAGGGGCCCCACCTCGCCTGCGGGTAGAGCAGCTGAGGGCGCGGCACCAAGAGCTCGAAGAAGCACAACTCTAGCTCGAGTAGGAACGTGCGGAGCTCAAGCGAGAGATCGAGTGCCACGAAGATGGTGGGCGCGCGCGTGCCGTGGCCCATGACATGAACCGAAGGATCATCGAGGATGATGAAGCCCTCCCACACTTCACCCGGTTAAGCCAGAACATCGTTGCCGCGGCAGCCTTGCTCCGGGGGCTTCCAGAGCCCGTGACACTCGAGGATCATCGGGCCCATTGTGAGATTCGCACGTTACTCAAGCGTGCGGCGACGCATCAGGCCGAGAGCTCGTTGTCCTGACGACGCGAGTTCGACGCCAGCCAGCGCGCGCCCTCAGAGCGACCCGACAAGGACATGTCAGTCCACCAGGCGCAACGAGGCGCCAGCGGCGCCAGCTACCGCG